AGACCCGCATCTGAGGAGAAGGCGGAGAAGGAGAAGAAACACAAAGACAAACACGCCGATGTGCCTCGTCAGGCATCGTAGCTATAGCATGCTCTATGTTTCTGGGAGCGCAACTAAAGCTACAGCAGCCAGAAAATAACAGAACCTATAAGAGGATTAAGAGGGCCTAAGGCAGTGGGAGAACATTTTGTAGTAGATAACTGGGGATTGCAGCAATTTGTAGAACCGCATCTGAGGAGAAGCAGAAGAAACACAAAGAGAAACATGCCGATGTACCTGGTCAGGCATCCAGATAGCAGCTAAAGATTCTGAACGACCAGTTTTCTGATAGATAGCAGGGCTCGAACGGCAGCAGCCCAAAGATAATAGAACCATATAGAACCAACAAAGAAGGCCTCAGGTAGTGGTAGAGCATTTTGTAGTAGATAACTTGTGGATTGCAGCAATTTGTAGAAAAACCAAATCTGAGGCGACTGCGTTGAAGGAGATAAAGCATAAAGACAATCAAAAGAGTCACGCGCCTGGTCCGGGATTCAGCGACATGGGCCTGTGGCTGGACAAGTTTTAGGGGCGCAGCCGGAGAGATGTGGAGCAATGAAACGGGTTTGGGCAGAGAACAGCGAGTTAATGAGGTTGCGTGTAGGTTGATTTTGTAGTAAGCAAGGTTAGTGTGCTGCACTTTGTAGAACTATATGCAGACAAGCGCGGGTATGAACGCTTGGAATATGTATGTTCAGTTTTGAGCGTGTCAGACAGTGCCGGCATCTTCAGTTGTTTTGGCTAATCTGAGTGCTGTGCTGGCAAGTGGCATTCGCCATCAAGCCATGGAAATTCCATTTGTCGTATGGTTTGGTCTTTGCGCTGTCTGCTTTCTCTTGGGAGTAGCAGCTGCCTCTTATCTATCGTGGCCTGTGGCAAATGCGGCGAACAAAAAAGCCACAGCCACAGCCACCGCCCCACCGCCCCACCGCACGGAACTGGACAGCGGAGGAAGTCACTGCAGCTGCGATGCCACCTAGGAGCATCACCCCCAGGCAATCCATGCTCAGGAACAGGACAGTGCATGAAGACACAGACGGTGACAATGAGGAGGATGCTGGTGACGAAGGTGTGCATGCACCTGGAGAGAGATCGTCGTTGCTTGACTCCCCGGAATCAGACTCATGGGAGATCGATAGCCCTGGTGGAACCAGATTCAAGAAAGTCAAAGTCACATCCAAGCGTGCATGTGTCCGACAATGTTTACAGCTGCGATGAGAACACGCAGCGCTGGTTGCCCTTGAGGCTGACAACGGGGTGTCAGTTTGACTCGGCCAGACATTGGAATGCCAGCGACAGTAGAAAGCCCTAGATGTGTGGACATATATACAACATGCCGAGGTTCGGATGGCAGAAAAAAGGAGTGTCACTTCTCTCGCTTTTGTTCTCAACAGAAACAGGATTCCAGAGCGTTCCCTGCAAAAATTATAGTCTAAGAGGATGTAGAGAGCCTAAGACCTTACCAAAGACCAAAGAGCTTACACTTTGTAGTGGTTGTGATTGGTTTTCACAGTTTGTAGAAGCCTTTCTGAGGATCTTGCCCCAGAGCCGAAGAAGGCAAAGAAGAACAACAACAAGTCTGAGGTGCCTGGTTGGCACATGACATGCTTCTGTGATCTTCTGTGGCTCAATCGGTTACTTTTGGATACTTTTGGTGACGTTGTGTTCAAGATTGGCCGAGAGAGGATGTCCCCTGTGGGAAAATGTAGTGCAGGTACGGTGTATGCAGTCTAAGGGCTTAAAACTTTTGCAGGTCAATTGCACTTTGTAGTAGTGCTTCATGGCTCTCACAGTCTGTAGAATCCTTGTCTCAGGAACTTGATTTACAGCCGAAGAAGACCAAGAAGCACGAAAAGTCTGAGGTATCTGGTTTCGATCTGTACGTGACCGTTTTCGACATGGGTCAGGCATCCAAGGTCATGCAACATCATGCAGCCATGTTACAGCTCCATAGACCAGAGACAGGTTGCCTCCTAGGAATCTAATCCAAGTACAGGGTTTTGAATCCATGGGGTTGAATCCTTTGTAGACTACGTACACTTTGTATTGTTTAGGTATGGTTTTCACAGTCTGTAGAAGCCTTGTCTCAGGAGCTCGTCCCGGATGCGAAGAAAGCGAAGAAGGTCAAAGATTCGGAGGTACCTGGTTAGCACAGACATGCGCAAACAGGCCTTTGTAGATCCAAACCAGTGACATTCCCAACTGGAACGCACACGGGCTGTATATACTTTTGTTTGGGTTTGACCTCAGGGATGAATTCAGAGATATTCTGTCTCTTCAGTGAACTTACACTTTGTAGCGGTGATTCATGGTTTTCACAGTCTGTAGAATCCTTATGTCAGGAATTGCCTGTGGAGCCGAAGGCCGCCAAGAAGAACGGAAAGCTTCAGGTACCTGGTTAGCACGGGTTGGCCGGAGGGAGGAGTCCATGAGCCCTAGGAAGGGCTTCTTGGCACAGTTGGCGGCACTCAGGCTTTGGTAGCTTTATAACAGTGATCCAACCACACACAAACCCAACTGTAACGCAACTATGTCCGTGTTTACTGTTTAGGATTGGCCGCAGACAGGGTTTCAGAGAACGGGTTAGAAGGTCCATTTTGTCCATGAGCTTGCGCTTTGTAGAGGGTGTCCATGGACTTCACTTTTTGTAGAGACCAGACCTCAGGAAGAACCTATGGAGCTGAAGGATGACAAGATTGGCAAGAAGCCCAAGGTACCTTCTGATTGGCACAGACATGCGCAAACAGGCCTTTGTAGATCCAAACCAGTGACATTCCCAACTGGAACGCACACGGGCTGTATATACTTTTGTTTGGGTTTGACCTCAGGGATGATTTCAGAGATATTCTGTCTCCTCAGTGAACTTACACTTTGTAGCGGTGATTCATGGTTTTCACAGTCTGTAGAAGCCTTATTTCAGGAATTGCCTGTGGAGCCGAAGGCCGCCAAGAAGAACGGAAAGCTTCAGGTACCTGGTTAGCACGGGTTGGCCGGAGGGAGGAGTCCATGAGCCCTAGGAAGGGTAAGGTAGCTTCTTGGCACAGTTGGCGGCACTCAGGCTTTGGTAGCTTTATAAC